TGAAACCTGCATAGTGATGAAACTCAATTTGTCACTTGAGTCTTTCTTTTTCACCAATTTCTGTTTCTTGTGTGCATTCTGTTTCTCATTGGATTCCAATGAATTTCTGTCTTCCTTATGAATATCACTACGAACCAAATGTTCTTGTTCCACTCTCCTTAAAGCTGTTCGAAGTTCATCGAAGCTTTGAATGCTGTCAAACAGATATCCAGTGATGTCTTTTAATGGAGAGTTTAGTCCAATCCACAACATATTGTGCAACATTAAATTCTTTTCACTAGAGTCAATGTCTTTAGTTTGACACACTTTACACATTATGTCCTCTAATCTGCAACTCCATGATGTAACATCTTCATCTGGCTTCTGTCGTGCTGAATAAAAATCAGCAAGTACAGCCTCAGTTCTCTCGATAAATCCATACACACTGTCCAACCTTGCGAGAATGTCTGATAGTGTTGCTTCAACACCTAAGTTCATAACGGTTCTACTCGCTTCTCCTTTAAGTGAATGTCTAATGGCTTGAAGTATTCTCTCTGTTGGGTATCCTTCTTGAATTAAACACCGAACTTCATAGTGCCAAACCTGAAATGAAGCTGCACCTTTTCCTGAAAACAAGGACAATTTAGGAATACCAATAGGCAAAACAGATTGTTCATGATAATCTATCATCCAATCAATAAAACTCTGAGGTGAATCTACATTCGGTTTAACATCTAATTCTCTAAAAGCTGTGACAATATTGTCAATCTCTTTCACTGAAAACTCCATGATTTTACTGCATGAAAAATCAGTATCACCTGATAGATGGAAACTCAGAGCGTCTATGGTGACATACAAAGTACAGAAAATGATTCTGAAAATCTGTGTGAAATACATAAGTGAATAATTTCAGACTCAATCATTTTTCACAACACAATGTACATGATAGGAACACAAGCATGCGACATAAAAACTATAAAACATTTGCATAGTCAATGTAAACAAACCCCTTCCTGTAAACAAAGAGTATTTCCAGTATGTAAAGATGCACTTCCGGTTTGCAGAAAATGTAAACAAATATGTGCAAATTTCAAAGACAAAATATACTTTCAAAATGCTTTTCAAAATTTGTCAAGTATTTACAAATAATTCCTGAAAAGAAAATAAATCTGCAATAATAAAAAAATATATATATATACTGAAAGAAAATTTCAATTACATGTTGAAAGCGCTAACTCTTAGATAAGAATTGCTTCAAATGATAAGCTTTTCAAAGAATAACACAAACACGTGAAGTTGACAAAGTCTAAACTGTCAACAAGATTTGGTAATTGTATGGACTAAAATTTATTTACGCAGTACCAGACGAACAAGCGTGACTACAGTATATGGAGATTAAACTTTACATGATAATTTAAATCAATTTCTTAACCCACTTACTACAGGAAAGGAATAAATATTCCTGTAATTTCTGAAGTTCTTCACAAACCCATGAAAACAAACCGACTTCCGGTTAAATTCTCGAAACGGATCCCGAACCCGATCTCAATTATTGTGATCACAACACGAAGATGGCGCGGATCTCGGTACTTACTTATTTAATACTACAGTAAATTAAATACCTATAATATATAATAAGGCGTATTAAGGGATGATTTTGACGGACAAACACTGATCAGATTCTGGTAACTACATCTCTACACAAAATAACTGCAGGACTAGCAAACCAAAACCATTATGAAAAACAAATGACCAATCAAACTCACTGGATAAACTTGTAACACAAACTATATACACCAGTCAAATGTTACTGTCAATAAAGGTCAGTAAACTGTTTGGTCACATATTAGTGCAAAGAAATAAAGCTAGAAAGAGAACTGGGGAATCTGAATGCTGTGCTCAGGACTTTCTCACATGACTTTCACAAAATTTACCTAACTTTTGATTTATTTAATTCAAATGAAAATTATTTATCTGAGAGAAAAAAAATAAAATAATAAAAAAAAAATATTTACAAAATTCACAAAAAAAATAGTTAGATGTTTTCAATCAAAAATTAAAAATAAATAGATAAATAAACTGAGGCCAAAATACAAAGATAACCAGTACTGGATTTGATTTAACCAAAAATTTGAATAAAACAAGAAAAATTTACCTTTTACATTTTAGAAATCAATCAAGATCTAAATGAAAAATATTCACTGCTTTTACAAATTAAATTACAGCATTCACATAATTACGAGATCTATGCAAATAATTTAAAAACAACAATATGGCATGCCTGTAAAAATTAAATATGTACCCTGAAAACAGTTTCTATCTGTACGTACACAATACCTCTACTGGCCAGTTTCGAATTCACAGAACGGTGTGCACACAAGTTCGAATTCACATCTTAGGGAAAGTCACTCTCCAGCGAATCACTCACAGTGTTTACCATGCAGTCGTCTTGGTTCTGGTTGAAGGCATCCAGTCCCAACGTGGGCGCCAATGTTGCAGGGGTGGTTTATATATAGGATGTAATAACAACCAAACTCCTGTCTAAGGGTTCATATATGTTTAATATGGATGTTCATCAAGTAAATGAATGGCCCTATCTATGGGACAAGGCCCATTCCTTAAAACACCAAAAACTACTGGATGCTTCAGCTTACATATTTCCAGGTCTGTTCTTAAGGTCTCAAGTCATGAAAGTCTTACAATTCTTTGTCTATAAACTCTAGTAAATTTTAACACTGCCAACCTGGCCAAAACTTCTGAGTAGTCTCACTAAAGCAACTGAAAACAACTCAGAACCACAACCAATAAAAAGACAGAACCCCAAGAGAATGACCTTGAACTTTATCGCTCACAAGTATATGTAAAGGGGTGGATCTAAGTTTTATATTAAACTCAATTTCATTTATATCAATAATACTGGTATTTATTCAATATTGTATGATATATAATATATACAATTAAAAACACACTGCTACAATATTATATGAACAACCTAGCTCGATAAAGATTTTCATTATAAATACAAACATGTATGCAGAAGTTTTTTTTTTTCCGGAATCATGTTAACAACGAAGAGAATAAAATAAAATTAATAACCATTATTTATTTCATAAAGGATTCAATAAATAATTTAATAAAAATATATTTCAATTTTATTCTAAATAAAACAACCACCATTCCTGTTTGACTTGAACTCTAAAACCCTTAAAGTGCCTCGTACCTGAGAACAATACACAAGGTTAGGTAAGATCAAATATCAGGTACTCAGGTGAAAAACTTATTATTCAATAGGCAAGTGCCTGGTACGTGTACCAAAAGAAGTAACAAGAAGAAAAACTATATAAGAAAAATTACTAGTGTTAAAATGCCGTTTTTGGTTCGATTTGTTTGGGGAGGGGGGTCTTATGAAGAGCGTCTTTTATTCTAATTTAATAATATTCGTTAACTTTTAATTAAATTCAAATTCACAATTAAATAAAATGCTGGGCGTGGTCGAAGTCAAAGGATATCTTCTGCAGATTTAAAAAAATCAAGATGTAAAGAAACAATGGAGGATTTTTTTGTAATCTAGCATCCGAATGAAGATATCTTGATATTTAAACTTTTTTTTAATGCCAAGGCAACGTTTAAGAGGTATTGTACGTTTTCTACCAGTTGAACATTTCTGGAGAGTTTGAATATGATGTCTTTCGATTGATTTATCATAATTTCACATTGGTCATTTCGTGCCATATATTCACCAAACCAAATTGTCCATTTCATCAGCCATTTAAAAGTAAAAATAAAAGTTAATATACACCGTAATTCTGGTCCTTCAACGGCATTATACAAATCTGCAGTAAAAAGAAGAAAACAATGCAGGCTGTGTCATTGACATCGTCACAAAATAATATTTGGGATTACAGCGGTGTGCATACTTTTTTTAATAACACAAATAAGTAAACGTTGATAATTTAAAAAATATTACACCAGGCAGTGTTCTTTGAAGATGGAAAAGCAAACAAATGAATGTTTAAACAAAATTTAACTATTTTATACGTCCTTATGTTTAAAATCATCACAATCACATAACGAGTATCTGCTACAATATTATTTGGGGCACTAAAAATGCTAATTGAGGGCGCTCGTGATTAAAATTCGGGGCATTCATGTTTGTACTTGGGCGCCGGCAAAAAATATCTGGGACGCTCATGCATGGGGCGTTCTGGTTTTGGGGCGAAACTATAGAAACCCAAATTGCTAAGTATAAAATTCTTATTTTAAGACATCAATAACAAAAAGAACAATCTACTAATTTAAAAAGTGGTATATATAGTGCTCTACAACACACTTTATAATAGTTAGACCCGCCCTATTTACTATATATTCTTACCAAATATGCTACTGGAAGGATATGGAAATAACGAACAGTATTCAATCTCAACGTCCATTAAACAAATATACAAAATAAGAGCAGAGCAAACACGGACCTCCGAAACATCAGAGGTGGGATCGGGTGCCATGGAGGAGTGAGATGAAAGACTTTATCTACATATTACATTCCAAAGGCTGACAGTAGCCCCACCCACTCAGAAGGCTTACACTTTATATTTATACCAAAGGTTGACAGTAGTTCCGACCCACTCAGAAGGCTTACACTTTATATTTATACCAAAGGCTGACAGTAGTTCCCATCCACTCAGAAGGCCTACACTTTTTATCTCATACGTATGGATGATACAACCCGTTGGATAAACCTATGCTTTATCAACGGGTAGATGCTTTATCAATAGCACTTCCGGCCGAACTACTTTTGACACGGTCCCTCGCTTCATTTTTTCGATGACCTAATTTGAAGAAATCACTTTGTTATGTTCAATTTTAAGAATAACTAAATTTTAAAAAGCACGTTAAATTTGAATAAATGAATACTTTTATGATAAATAATAAATATTTAATTTTAAATCCCGTTCCTTATCGAGATGTAAAATAGTGACGTAATAATCTTCTGCATGAAAGTCTTTGGTGCCTAATTTGGTAAAATGACGGAGGAAAAGAAATACGGCGAATTTTTCGTAAATTGCAAAGATTTCAAGGAGGTTCATGACCTTGAAAATGGTAGTAATGAAGAAAAAGATGTTAGTGAACATTTTGAAGGTGGTAAAAATATGCAAAAGGAAAAATCAATCACGGTGCCGGTTCAGGAAATTTCAGAAAAAGAGCAGTTAGAAGTTTTAAGCTCGTTATTTGAAGCGGAGGTGATGGAAAATAATGAGGAAATTTCAAAGGAAAATTTGGCAAGGTTTGTTCACTATGACAATGAAGAGATAGAAAAATTTATTCAAGAACACGCTGAGAAAAACACTCTATGATATCAATTTGTTAAAAACTTTCCTTCTTTCAAAAAATGAAAAGCGTGAATTCTTCAAAATTCCTCCTACAGAGTTAGATGTCTATGTAGCAAATTTCATATTAAGCGTTCGGAAAAAAGGGGGAGAGGAGTTTGAGCCAACTTCATTGAGAAGTCTGATTTCTAGTATCGACAGAGCTCTCCGACGACACCGCTACGAAACAAGCATAATTCAATCTCCTGAATTTATTTTCGCAGCAACAAAACAAGCTTTGAAAGCCAAACAAAAAGATCTAAAGCAAAAAGGGAAGGGAAACAGACCACAAAAGGCAGATCCATTATCCGATGATGATATAAATATTCTATATGACTCGGGAGTTTTGGGAGTTACTTCCCCTCAAGCATTATTAAATACAGTTTGGTTCAACAATGCAATTCATCTTGGGCTACGCGGACATCAGGAACATTACAATCTCTGTTGGGGGGATATTTCCTTGCAAAAAAATCCCGATGGCACGGAATATTTACAGCATTTTGAAAGGCAGACTAAAACCCGCACCGGTGTTAACACGCGTGACACTAGGAAAGTCTTAGGAAAAATATTTTCGGCCCCTCATTTGAATGAAAACAACCCGGTAGAAGTTTACAAAAAGTACGCCAGTCTGAGACCCCAAGGTTTTTCGGAACCAAATGATCCTTTCTACATAGCTACACGAACAATCCCTCTTTCTGACACACGAAGCGATAAATGGTTTATGAAACAAAGGCTTGGGGTGAATAAAATTGGAAAAATTTTGAATAATATGGTTGAAAAGTGTCCAAAACTTTCAGAATCTTGGAAAAGGCTTACAAATACCAGTACAAGAAAATACTGCGTTCAAAAACTCAGAGAAGAAAACATTGCGCCCACAGATATCATGCAAGTCACAGGACACAAAAACGTCAATTCTATCATTAACTACTCTGAGGTTACAATAAAAAAACAACAGGAAATGTCAGTTCTATTGTCGACAACAAAACGTAATTGTTCAACGGATATAGGCGATTCCCCTACCATAAACCAACCAGGGCCTAGACCTGTAGCAGTCGCAGGAAGTATTCAACAGGCTCAGTCACTATTTGCAGGGGCAATACTGCATGTAAACAACATGAATATTTACACTTACCAAAATGCCTCCCAGGACCTTGCTCCGTCGCCAGCGAAAAAATCCAAATGAACATATCAATCCTGATTAATAACAGTATTCTAGTCCAAAATTCCAATTTATATTTCCATGTAAAGTTACTTGCTTTATCACTAATAAACACGTTCCTTGTTTAACTCCTGAATACAATGTGTTTTTCTTTCAAATCAGCGAGTATTTGCAACTTTAAACAGTGTAAGCCTATGTAAATGAGGTCGTGTCATATTATTTTTAAAACCGAGTTTATAGCTTTCTAGTTTCAACAATGAAAATTTAAAAATGAATCCAAAGGTAAAAAAAGTAATTTAAGGCCAAATTTCAGTGATGCATTATTTTTTTAATAGTAAAATTGATCGATTGAAAAAGGTACTATATTTTATGTCGTAAGCTTAATTTAAGCGCAAAGAGGCGAGTTGCATCATCGATCAAGTAAAAAAAAAGGTGGAAAGGGAAAGTATCAAAACTTATTATGAAAATAAAATCGTATGAGATAAATAGAACATCTATAATTGTGTGATTTGATATTGGCTTTATCCAACTCGTTAAAATGGTGTATATTCGCTCGGCAAGCCTCGCGAATATATACACCATTTTAACTCGTTGGATAAAGCCAATATCAAATCACACAATATAGATATCCTCTATATATTTATACCAAAGGCTGACAGTAGATCCCACCCACTCAGAAGGCTTACACTTTATATTTATACCAAAGGTTGACAGTAGATCCCACCCACTCAGAAGGCTTACACTTTATATTTATACCAAAGGCTGACAGTAGTACCCACCCACTCAGAAGGCCTACACTTTATATTTATACCAAAGGCTGACAGTAGTACCCACCCACTCAGAAGGCCTACACTTTATATTTATACCAAAGGTTGACAGTAGCCCCACCCACTCAGAAGGCCTACACTTTATATTTATACCAAAGGTTGACAGTAGTCCCCACCCACTCAGAAGGCCTACACTTTATATTTATACCAAAGGTTGACAGTAGGCCCCACCCACTCAGAAGGCCTACACTTTATATTTATACCAAAGGCTGACAGTAGATCCCACCCACTCAGAAGGCCTACACTTTATATTTATACCAAAGGTTGACAGTAGTCCCACCCACTCAGAAGGCCTACACTTTATATTTATACCAAAGGTTGACAGTAGATCCCACCCACTCAGAAGGCTTACACTTTATATTTATACCAAAGGCTGACAGTAGTACCCACCCACTCAGAAGGCCTACACTTTATATTTATACCAAAGGCTGACAGTAGTACCCACCCACTCAGAAGGCCTACACTTTATATTTATACCAAAGGTTGACAGTAGGCCCCACCAACTCAAAAGGCCTACACTTTATATTTATACCAAAGGTTGACAGTAGTCCCCACCCACTCAGAAGGCTTACACTTTATATTTATACCAACGGTTTAATGTCGTCCCACCCACTCAGAAGTCTTACACTTTATATTTATACCAAAGGTTGACAGTAGGCCCCACCCACTCAGAAGGCCTACACTTTATATTTATACCAAAGGTTGACAGTAGTCCCACCCACTCAGAAGGCCTACACTTTATATTTATACCAAAGGCTGACAGTAGATCCCACCCACTCAGAAGGCTTACACTTTATATTTATACCAAAGGTTGACAGTAGATCCCACCCACTCAGAAGGCTTACACTTTATATTTATACCAAAGGTTGACAGTAGATCCCACCCACTCAGAAGGCTTACACTTTATATTTATACCAAAGGTTGACAGTAGTCCCCACCCACTCAGAAGGCCTACACTTTATATTTATACCAAAGGCTGACAGTAGATCCCACCCACTCAGAAGGCTTACACTTTATATTTATACCAAAGGCTGACAGTAGATCCCACCCACTCAGAAGGCTTACACTTTATATTTATACCAAAGGTTGACAGTAGTCCCCACCCACTCAGAAGGCCTACACTTTATATTTATACCAAAGGCTGACAGTAGATCCCACCCACTCAGAAGGCTTACACTTTATATTTATACCAAAGGCTGACAGTAGATCCCACCCACTCAGAAGGCTTACACTTTATATTTATACCAAAGGTTGACAGTAGATCCCACCCACTCAGAAGGCCTACACTTTATATTTATACCAAAGGCTTACAGTAGTCCCACCCACTCAGAAGGCCTACACTTTATATTTATACCAAAGGTTGACAGTAGATCCCACCCACTCAGAAGGCCTACACTTTATATTTATACCAAAGGCTGACAGTAGTCCCACCCACTCAGAAGGCCTACACTTTATATTTATACCAAAGGTTGACAGTAGGCCCCACCCACTCAGAAGGCCTGCACTTTATATTTATACCAAAGGTTGACAGTAGTCCCACCCACTCAGAAGGCCTACACTTTATATTTATACCAAAGGCTGACAGTAGATCCCACCCACTCAGAAGGCTTACACTTTATATTTATACCAAAGGTTGACAGTAGATCCCACCCACTCAGAAGGCTTACACTTTATATTTATACCAAAGGTTGACAGTAGATCCCACCCACTCAGAAGGCTTACACTTTATATTTATACCAAAGGTTGACAGTAGTCCCCACCCACTCAGAAGGCCTACACTTTATATTTATACCAAAGGCTGACAGTAGATCCCACCCACTCAGAAGGCTTACACTTTATATTTATACCAAAGGCTGACAGTAGATCCCACCCACTCAGAAGGCTTACACTTTATATTTATACCAAAGGTTGACAGTAGTCCCCACCCACTCAGAAGGCCTACACTTTATATTTATACCAAAGGCTGACAGTAGATCCCACCCACTCAGAAGGCTTACACTTTATATTTATACCAAAGGCTGACAGTAGATCCCACCCACTCAGAAGGCTTACACTTTATATTTATACCAAAGGTTGACAGTAGATCCCACCCACTCAGAAGGCCTACACTTTATATTTATACCAAAGGCTGACAGTAGTCCCACCCACTCAGAAGGCCTACACTTTATATTTATACCAAAGGTTGACAGTAGATCCCACCCACTCAGAAGGCCTACACTTTATATTTATACCAAAGGCTGACAGTAGTCCCACCCACTCAGAAGGCCTACACTTTATATTTATACCAAAGGTTGACACTAGCCCCCACCCACTCAGAAGGGTTACACTTTATATTTATACCAAAGGCTGACAGTAGTCCCCACCCACTCAGAAGGCCTACACTTTATATTTATACCAAAGGCTGACAGTAGCCCCACCCACTCAGAAGGCTTACACTTTATATTTATACCAAAGGCTGACAGTAGCCCCCACCCACTCAGAAGGCTTACACTTTATATTTATACCAAAGGTTGACAGTAGTCCCGCCCACTCAGAAGGCCTACACTTTATATTTATACCAAAGGTTGACAGTAGCCCCAACCACTCAGAAGGCTTACACTTTATATTTATACCAAAGGTTGACAGTAGTCCCATCCACTCAGAAGGCTAACACTTTATATTTATACCAAAGGCTGACAGTAGATCCCACCCACTCAGAAGGCCTACACTTTATATTTATACCAAAGGCTGACAGTAGCCCCGCCCACTCAGAAGGCTTACACTTTATATTTATACCAAAGGCTGACAGTAGCCCCATCCACTCAGAAGGCTAACACTTTATATTTATACCAAAGGCTGACAGTAGATCCCACCCACTCAGAAGGCCTACACTTTATATTTATACCAAAGGCTGACAGTAGTTCCCACCCACTCAGAAGGCTTACACTTTATATTTATACCAAAGGCTGACAGTAGTTCACACCCACTCAGAAGGCTTACACTTTATATTTATACCAAAGGCTGACAGTAGTTCCTACCCACTCAGAAGGCCTACACTTTATATTTATACCAAAGGTTGACAGTAGATCCCGACCACTCAGAAGGCCTACACTTTATATTTATACCAAAGGTTGACAGTAGTTCCCACCCACTCAGAAGGCTTACACTTTATATTTATACCAAAGGCTGACAGTAGTTCACACCCACTCAGAAGGCTTACACTTTATATTTATACCAAAGGCTGACAGTAGTTCACACCCACTCAGAAGGCTTACACTTTATATTTATACCAAAGGCTGACAGTAGTTCCTACCCACTCAGAAGGCCTACACTTTATATTTATACCAAAGGTTGACAGTAGCCCCCGACCACTCAGAAGGCCTACACTTTATATTTATACCAAAGGTTGACAGTAGTTCCCGCCCACTCAGAAGGCCTACACTTTATATTTATACCAAAGGTTGACAGTAGTTCCCGCCCACTCAGAAAGCTTACACTTTATATTTATACCAAAGGCTGACAGTAGCCCCCACCCACTCAGAAGGCTTACACTTTATATTTATATCAAAGGCTGACAGTAGTTCCCATCCACTCAGAAGGCCTACACTTTATATTTATACCAAAGGTTGACAGTAGCCCCCATCCACTCAGAAGGCCTACACTTTATATTTATACCAAAGGTTGACAGTAGTTCCCACCCACTCAGAACGCCTACACTTTATATTTATACCAAAGGTTGACAGTAGATCCCGACCACTCAGAAGGCTTACACTTTATATTTATACCAAAGGCTGACAGTAGCCCCCGCCCACACAGAAGGCTTACACTTTATATTTATACCAAAGACTGACAGTAGCCCCCGCCCACTCAGAAGGCTTACACTTTATATTTATACCAAAGGTTGACAGTAGTTCCTACCCACTCAGAAGGCCTACACTTTATATTTATACCAAAGGTTGACAGTAGCCCCCGACCACTCAGAAGGCCTACACTTTATATTTATACCAAAGACTGACAGTAGTTCACACCCACTCAGAAGGCTTACACTTTATATTTATACCAAAGGCTGACAGTAGTTCCTACCCACTCAGAAGGCCTACACTTTATATTTATACCAAAGGTTGACAGTAGCCCCCGACCACTCAGAAGGCCTACACTTTATATTTATACCAAAGGCTGACAGTAGTATCACCGACACCTGGGGGAGTTAACAATGGG